GATCCTCTTTAATTTTGAGTGATCCTCAGGTTTGATCTACTCCATTTTATCCAAGGATTCAGGTATTGTAGTTAACCTCATGGCTCTAAATATATCCATATCATATTTTTAAATACAGCTTCATTCATCTTATTGGGTGAGAAAGGTTCAGGATTAGATTACTAATATGGGCAGACCATATTCAAGTTTTCCCTTTGATTAAATTTTCTGTTTTGGCCTTTTTGGCTATTTTATGTAATAGATTCTGTTTTAGTTTTAAAAAATCCACACTAAATGTATGAATATTCTGGTTGTGGAGATAATGAAAAAAAGAGAGGCATATTTGACCTAGATTCTATTTTGAAGTTCTGATACCAGTATTTGCCTTAATTGTTCTTGCAGTTGTAGCATTTGACATGATAGTTTGCCAACTGCAATAAGTGTAAGGTAAGCCTCTAACCTTTATATATTTGTTTATTCATGTATCTTGTTGTTAATTATATGGAAGTTTTTTCATTTTTGGTCCCTTTATACTTGTTGCTTCTTCTGTTTGCATATATCATCTTACCCTTTATTGCTTGATGCATGCATGAATACTGCTCAGTGCTTTTTTCTATTGTTGAATTAGTGTTAATCAAATTGAGCTGAGATAACAATGAGTGTTTATGACTCAAACTCTTTGCTGGCATATTATCTGTTGTTCCACAGAAATAACATTAAAAGTCTGTTTTTGTTGATGCCATTGCCAAATTGGGTGATTCAGTTGTCATGTTCTATCTAGTCTGGGATCTTCTGCCTCTAATACTGAAACTTAGAAATCCTATCCAGATAATGGTGCTACATATACTCCTATAAAGATAGGATATGGGCTACTTTTTTAATAATTTTATGACGTTTTTCTTCATTTGACATGTCAGATAGCAATGCAATTAACTCTGTAAGTCTGTAGTTTGTGTAGACAGATGCACTCCTGCATTAGGTAAAATCAATTGTAATTTGAATGCTATAATTGGAGAGAATGAAGCCTTTGACTCTTCTTCTTCTTCTTAATCCCCCTCTCTCCCCCCCCCCCCCCTTTTTTTTTTTAATTAAATACTAAGCATGGATAGTGTCTTTATCTTCCCCCCTCCTCCCACATAAGGAGTTAATCAAATAACTTGCTAATTAGAACCAAAAAAGGGAACTGGATGGTAGTAATATACAACTAATATATGAGGAAAGCAGTCGATGGTAAAAGAACTAGAACTAAAATTAAAGTCTTTAATGTAAAATCTGAAGAGTTACAGACATCAATTGTAGTTCTAGTTTATAAAATTTATAAACTGGAAGGGGGGGGGGGGGTTAAAGCCGTAAAGGTGCTTTTTTACTTTTCCCTTTCTGTTTCTTCTTCAAGTTTTAGTTTTGGTCTCTCTGGGCTGTAATATTTCTCCAGACCTTCTTCCTTATCCTTTCCTTTGCCTTTTGATTCCTTGTACTTTAATTTAGATCAATGAGCAAGAACCAGCTTAGGTTTCTGCAACTAGGGCAGTCTCTTATGCCATTTAGAAGCTGACATGCAATCACTATTTCTCTATGCAGCCCTTTTGATCTTGTCTCTATTTATTTATTTATTTTTTTGGTATGTGGAGACTAGAGATTGAACCCTAGATTTGTAGCTAAGAGCATAAACAACTTTACCACCAAATCACATGGCTAATGGTTGATTTATGCTCCAACTGGAACTGATGTTTTTTTCAACTGCTCCTTTAACAATTGGAGCTCTTTCCATTTCTTCTTTCCACATCTAATTTCTTTAATGTTCCCCTTTTTCTCTTTGACAACAAAATAATGATATCCTCTTGGAATGTCAATGTAAAATTGCCTCCTACCATGACTGGGTGGCAAGTTATGCCAATATGTATTATCACCAAGCTCTTCAAATCGTGCACGTATCTTCAGCTGTCATGATTGCTGCTATTGGAAAAAGTGCTCAGATGCGTTTACACCATTCAATATCTCAAAGTCTCATTGGCAATGGTCATTGTCTTTTAAAATGGTTGGACCATGTTTTGCATAAAATGATGTATTCGACCATACTATTATCTGCATTTTGGTGTCCTTGTCAATATCTGTATCCATATCCTAATCTTTGTAGTTAATTTAATAACATTGTTGAATATTTTGTTAATCTGTACTATTTTTGGTCATCATGTTAAAGAGAAACATGTGCAGGAGTACACGCACACAAACACACACAAAAATAGTACAGATACATGTATTAAAGTACTTAAATGAAGGATGAAGGTTAGTATGAGTAGGAGTTTTTCAGAAGAATGCTACAACTGTGTTCAAATGTTCAGAACACGTGTTTGGTAGATATATTCTTCAATGTTTTCAGTTATTATATCAAAATTTAAATTGTACTTATCTTGGTATTTAGTTAATTAGTTCCCATGCCTGGATTCCGTCATCATCTTTCATTCAAAATCAGGACTGAAATTATTCACCTTTTGACTTTGGGTTCCTTGTAATATGTAGAAATATGTTTTTGGTGGTATAATAGTCATAATTGCTAGGATTATCTTCAGTTCTTTAGTGAGAAGTTCAGCCTTCTCTTTACTAATTGGTATCTGTTTAAGGTTCAAGACTTGGAGTTATTGACCTTCAAAGCCTTAAATCAGGAAAGTTTGAATCCTATGGAAAGTAGGGCATTGAATTTCTCTGGGAATAGCCACCGGTTGCAGCCAGAATAATTTTCTGTCATTGATTTCCTTACTACTATCATTAAATTAAAATTTGTAACCTCAAACCCCAGCAAACAGCATGCCATGGCTATCAACCCATTCATCTAGTGCATATATCTTGGTGAATCACAAGAGCTGATAGTGACTGGGATTCACATGCTGATGCTGGTTCTAGGGTTGATTAATTGTGCTATAATAATTCATGCTCATGCTTTGGATATCCATTCTTAAAATTTTTTTTTTTTTTTTTTTTTTTTGGTAATATGAATGTTTTCATTTGATTTAAATCTATATGGTGAACCAAGCACTGTTTAACACCAAGATAGGGTATGCTAACTGTTTGGATTGTTGTTGGTAAAGTTATTGTTCTAAGAAAGCAACAGTTTATCTTACAGAGGAGAGAATATGGTTTATTTATAGGGGAAATGTTTCAAAAAGGATTTGACTAACCAACTACTAGTTTTCCTTCTTCTTTGCTTTCTGCCACCGTCACCTAGATTTTGTTCAACTATTGCAATCCCTTTTCATCTCTGAGTTTCTCTTTTTGCCGCCAGATGAAGACCAAATTGTAGTAAAAGTTTGAAGAAATTTGGAACATATGTTGTCCTGTTCTGTTCTTGGTTATTCAGTTGTTGTTAATTAGGCAGCTATCCTTTTTAGATGATAATATGAAATGACTGCTGCTTGCTTTAAAAATGAGCAAGATGACATAACATATGTGAGAAAAAAAACTTTTATTCTTCTATTTTCTTATTTTCAGGATCATATTAGTACTGTATTACCAATATGTGTAGTAATGCTTAAGTCATTCATACACTTCCTACAGATATCTAACCAATCATATATCAGTGTATCACTTTCTTTGTAAGAATTGTCCCATCATTTTATGCCATATTTGATGCTTTTGCCCAACCATGATTAAGTATTGGTCACAGTATCATTCCATTCGCTACAATTTCAAAAGGAAGTGGGATTTCTGCTCCGCATCTCCAAGCATTTGTTAAGTATTCCTAATCTAGTCTGAATAAGTGGGCATACCGTTATGTTACACTCTCTGTTGAAAAGTTATGGCCTACGGATTAGATGGAAAATGGAGCTTCATGAAGATATAATGATATATTAGGTAGAAAGATGAATTAGAGCAAGGCATGAATCAAAAAAGGACTTTTATATGTGACTGATGGACATCCCTGAGTCGAAACGTTCAAAGCAGAAAAGTATTAGTTCTAATTGATTGCTTGAGTGAATTTTTCTACTAAGTGGTTTTTGTCCAGCCTCTGAAGATGTTTTCTTTCTTTCTTTCTTTTTTAATCACAGCATACATTTGCGTGACTCCAATACATATTTAACATGCTTCTTGCAGTGAAATCATTGAGAAAGTTCCTTATCCACTAATCAATGGAGGCTGCTAAGGGACTTATGTATAGACTGAAGTTCTGTAACAATTTTTTGGCACAGGGATGTGTATTGAATGTCAAAAGACTAACTATGCCAATAGAAGAATACCCCAGACTTAGTCCTGCACCTCAACTTACAATTATTATCACCAACTGGATGCACAGTTTTGTGATGGCTCCACTAGACATGGTTCATCTTGGCCTGATAGTTGTTGAAATATGCAATTGATACTGCATGTTCTGGCAATCAGACACAGCACTGTTAGAGATGAAAACTGGTTTTTGAAAAATACACAGGTGTTCCTGCTTGGCATAGTAAACATTCAAAGAGGAGTATCTGCCGCCATGAAGGCCTTTTCCTGTTTGTTTCTGATTGAAGGAAAAACCTATTTGTTTGCAATTGAAGTAGGCTGGAATAGATGGGCACCTCACCTACAACATGCATGAGAGTTCAGTTACAAAGGGACCTCTATTTCTTTTCATTACTATTATTTTCTAGTTTTCTTTTTTGAGATAACGAGGAAAACCCGTCCTCATCGCCCACTTAAAGCTTGGAGTTTTAACCCTCAGGTGCAATGGCCAGACCCATTATTTTCATTTTTCCTTTTTTGTTGTGATGGAAATCATACTCATTTTCTGGATTTATAAATTGAGCTGGTGCAGGGAGTTGGTTTTCTGATGTCCAGTAAATTCAACCCTTTTGCAAAAGTGGATCGATGCACATATCACCTCAACCATGAAATGTAAGTGCTTGTATTTAATCTGTTCAGGCTTCAGGGTAAATGTGGCTGGGCTAAAACTTAGTCGGTGTTGGACTGAAACAAACAAAACCTAGAAACATGTCCGGATCAGGGCAATTTCATCCTTTTTTCTGTTTGATTTTTCCTATCTACACACCTTTCTAATCCAAACATTTGAAAATCGGACACCTCTCTTTTGGATGAGGAAACATGCACGCGGGCTTAAGTGCGACAATGAGTTCTATTGAAAAGATGTATGAAAAAGAGTTCTCTTTTTACCCTTCTTCTGTCTCCTATCATGCAAATATGTATCCAGAAAATTATCATGCAACCCTAAACTCTGAAGAAAATTACTCAAGAACTTCAGGCCTTTTAGCTGTTATCCACCCCACCCACATCAAACGCGGCCATGCTGAGTCTACCTTCTGCCCCTATTCGTTCATATACTGTAAAAGCTTTTCGATGCCTTCAAAATTGATGACACTCTTCTGTCTTTTTTCAGATCCTTCCACACGTGGTTGAATTCAAATTTAAGACTTACAATATAAAAACTCAAACTTTTAATTATTGAAACATTTATAGAAGACAAATGCAACCTTAATTCCTTGTTTTTGTTGACAAGGACTTACAACAAGAGTTTTGTCAACTTAGTTGTTACTAAGTTAAAAACCTTTGCTTTGAATTAAGCTCAAGCATTTAAAATTTTATAGTATCAAACAGTTAATTTTTAATGTTAAAAAAAAAAAAAAAAAAAAAGAAACAATTTCTTCTCTTGTCTATTCTTTGAAAAGTCATCTTCAAATTTACAAATTCTCAATTATTAAAAAGTCATC